AGTGTCAGCGCCAGAGTCCGTGTGCGCCAGGCTGCAGGCAGGACAGAGGGGTGGCCTGTGCCGGTGGAGTCAGGGAGGCTGAGGGGGACTTTTATGCATGAGGCAGGCACGGTGGTGGGGGCTTCACTTCTGCGTCCCTCGGAATCCTCCCAGCACCCTGCGAGGTTGGGGTGAGTGTCCTGGAGTCACTTCCGAGGGGCCACGGCCTGCATCACAGAGCTGGCCCCGGGCCCGGCCAGGAGTCAAGGCCAATGGGTGCCTCTTCAGCCAGCTGTCTTGGGGGACCCTCTGGGCCCACTCCCCGGGAGTTTGCTCAAGGGCTGGAAGCTGGTGTGTGTGTGTGTGTGTGTGTGTGTGTGAATGCACTTTATCTGCGTGCAGAGGTGGTGCTGCCCACAGAGGGCTGTGCTGGGGACCGTGGGGAGGCACGCTCACTCATAAACGCCGGCAGTGCCCAGCCTGGCAGCCGGTGCCCCGAGGGTGGCCCTCGGCCTGAGACTTGATGAGCTGGGGTGCTTATGCTCTCGGATGGGACAGCCTTGAGGTGTCCACGGGGACTTCAGAAAGTCCCTGGAAAGTTGGAATTAGAAAGATTCACTGTGGTGCCAGAAGAACATTTGAAGTGTATGTATAGTTTTCTCATACTACGCACTTTTCCTGAACTTTTTGAAGGTCTCTGCTGTGCATGGATTGCAACTTTTTTTTTTGGCACCGAAATAAACATCTTTAATTCTGCTTTCTGCGAGCTCTGGGAGTCCCTGGTCCTGTGCACGGTCTCCAGGGAAGTCCCCTCTGTGTCCCGGCTTCCTGCCCCTGCGGGTGTTCCTTTGTTTCTGGGGCTTCTCAGCCTAGCACAGTGGGTGAAGCCGAAAGGTAGTGTCCTGTTAAACATGTAGCTGTGCATACACTGAGCATGTTTATGTCCACACATGTGTGTTGGAGCACGTATGTGAGTGTGGATGTGTTTGCAGGCATGGGGGAGTCTCTGCACTTGCTGCTCTCTGTCCCAAGCTGTGGAAATATGTGGGTGGCTGGCTTTGGGCTTCCTGGGGTGGGGACTGCTTGGAGAACACGTGTGTGTGTGTGTGCACTGGCACTCGGTAGGAGTGTGGCTGGCAGGCTGTTGGGGAGAAGTGAGGGGGGAGACAAGGAGGACTCCGATGATTTCAACCTTGAAAACTCATTTCAATTACAATTTACAACCTGCAGACAAAGGCTGCAGCCACTGGAGTAACCACAGCTTCGGGGGTTTTGATGGAGAAAATCCGCCCGCTGGTTCCCTGCCGGCTGTCACCCATGGCCGAGGCCACCACGTCTCCGCCTCGCTGTGCCCCAGGACACAATTAGGACATCCTCACACTGTTGCTGCTGTCACCACCACCACGCGTCTGGGATTTATCTCTTGCAGTAGCTCCCACACATGCAGAGCTGTCTCCTCCAGGAACTGAGGGGGCCCTGCCTGGGCCTGGGGGTCCTGCCCGCCCGTGGGAGGGGACAAGCTGACCCCTTCCCTCTGCTGCTGAGGCATCCTTCCCTGGGTAGGTCTGGACAGTTGAGGTCAGGGGCACAGGAGAGGCGGGTCAGGGGCTAGAGGGAGGAGGGGACGGTCACACTGCCTAGCCTGCAGGTACAAGCTGAACCCTTGCTAGGGGCCTGGAGTCAAGGGACCCAGGGATGCCTCCCTCAGCCCCCTGCAAAGCGCAGTGGCTCCCCCCGGGAGAGGCCAGGCAGGCCTGTGTCTCAGAGCTGTGGCAATTGCGAAACCAGCACCTGAGGGTTGCCAGCATGCGAGGGCTCCTGGCAAGTGAGCCACTGCTGGGGTCGCCTGCCGGGGAACCAGGCTCAGGCACAGGATGGGCACAGTGTCAGGTGCTCAGGGCCAAGTGTGTTCTCAGTGCACGCGTGGGACTTTGCTGCCTGCCCTGGTGCCCTGTGCCCTGTGACCTGTTGCTGCTGCCTCCTATCGGACAACAGGAAAGAGGCAGGGTTTGAGAGGTGTGTGTTGTGTGTTTGTTGTATATGTGTGTGTTGTGTATATATGGAGAGTGCATGTTGTGTGCATGTTGTGTGTGAGTGTATGGAGGGTGCATGTTGTGCACATGTTGTGTGTGTGTAGAGGGCGTGGCCACAGCCCGGCTGTCCCTTTACCAGTCACCCTCTGAGCCCCCGTTTCTCTCCAGGCTGGAAGTAAAGGCACAGAGGTGGGGGGGTTGAGAAGTCCCTGGGAGGCCCTGGCCAGCACCGCAGCAGCCCACAGGGGACAGCCTGGAGGGGCGGGGCTCAGGGCTGCCCAGGCCCACAGGACCCCAGAGCCCGTCCCCCAGGAGCCACCGCAGGCCCTTCCCTGGTGAGGACACTCCCGTGGGGCACCCGCACTCTGGGGTAGACCTCAGTGAGGACACGTAGCCCAGTGCCGGTGCTCAGCCACACTCGCTGAGGAGGGACCCGGTGAAGCCAGGGGAGGAGAGGCCGAGGCCACCTGTGTCCCCAGAGATGCCTCTGACGTCCCGTGTGTCCTTGGCCTTGGGTGAGGGCTGCGTCCTTTCTGCAGTGGCTGCGCCTTCCCTCCGTCCCTGCTCAATAATTCAGTGCGTGCTCCACGGGAGACGAGGGTGTGGTGAGAGCTGCAGCGGAGTCAGGTGGCAGGGCCTGGGCCTCGGGGCAGCGAGGGGGAGCAGGGCCTGGCTCCAGGAGGGGTGTCCCAGGCCACCTGCCCCAGCCGCCCACGGGGACAGGGGCCTTGGCTGAGAACGTGGGCTGGGGAGACTGGAGACTGTGCCTCTGCCTTCTTCCCACCTGGCCCTTGGCCTGGAAACAGGGCTGCTGTTGGCAAAATACAGCTTTGCCCTACACCAGGGCCCTGGGGCAGGCGCAGTCCGGGACGGGGCAGGCTGGGGCACCCTTTTAGCCGGTATGTTGCGTGACCCGGTCCCGCCCTCTCCAGGCCCGTTTCTCATCTGTCAGATGGCATCGGAGCCCTGTCCTCCCCAGCGCTCACTCAGCAGTCTGTGACACCCACCCTGAGCCAGGTGGCAGGGCCACGTCCTAGGGTGGGGGACGTGACTGTCCTTCCTGGTGTGAGGGTTAGGCGGTGAGCAGAGCTCGGTGGGAGGCAGTGAGGTCCCCTGGACCCTGTCTGCCTCCGAGGTGCTGCAGGCAGGAGATGGGCACAGAGACCTCTGAGCTCCCAGGGACTCAGGGCTGACCCAGCTCAGCCCGGCCCCCGTGCAGGACTGGGCACAGGTGCAGCCGCTCACCCTGCTGTAGGGCCTGCCTGCAGGGTGTGGCCGTGATCTCTAACAGGGAGGCCCAGGCCGGGCATGGGGGCTTTCAAGGTGCCACTTGCTTGCTCTGGCCTGGAGGAAGGCGGCTGGGGGCTGTGCCGTGTGCAGGGCTGTGGCCTTGGGAGGGCTTCCCCCTCCCCACAACCGACCATCCTCCTGCCCCCCTCCCCAGGCCGCACTTCCAAGCCCTGCCCCTCCTGTCCTGTCTCCTGCCCACTCCCTCTCTGGCTGGGGTGGCACACAGGCTTGGGGGCCAAAGCACTTTGGCTTCAGGTCCTGCTGTGTGCGGGCCTGGCACATTCCTCGGCTCTTCCGTGTTTCGGTCTTTGCGATGGGGCTGACTTCTTCCTGGCATTCTCAAGAGGGCAGTGAGTTAACAAAGAGCCCAGCACCGTGCCTGGCTCATGGCAGGTGCTCAGTGGAAGTGAGCAGCTCTTATTTACTATCATTGTTGACATTTTACGGGGGCCCAGGCTGGGAAGCCCCCTCCCTCTCCTCCTTCCTGGCTTGCTCCAGCCCAGGGACGGCTGTTGCCAGCTCAGAACCGCAGGTGTAATAACCTCTGTACTGAGTGATTTCTTTTTTCTTTTAGGTTTATTTATTTATTTGAAAGTCAGAGTTACACAGAGTGGAGAGAGTTACACAGAGTGGCAGAGAGAGAGAGAGAGAGAGAGAGAGAGAGAGACAGAGAGAGAGAGGTCTTCCATCTGCTGGTTCACTCCCCAATTGGCCGCAACAACCAGAGCTGGGCCAATATGAAGCCAGGAGCCAGGAGCTTCTTCCAGGTCTCCCACGTGGGTGCAGGGGCCCAAGCATTTGGGCATCTTCCACTGCTTTCCCGGGCCGCAGCAGAGAGCTGGATCGGAAGTGGAGCAGCCAGGACTTGAACCGGCGCCAACATGGGATGCCAGCACTGCAGGCGGTGGCTTTACCCACTAAGCCACAGCGCCGGCCCTGGGGTGGTTTCTGTACTTACCTTGCCTGAGCCTCACAGTGATCTGTCCTGCTTTCTCTTTGAGATTACGAGTCCCCTTGTTTCTAACAGGGAGCTGGCACAGGGTCCCAGAGCAGAGGCTGGTGGGCACGGGGAGGGCAGGAGGGTGGGAGGCCAGGGCCCAAGGGCTGTGGTTTACTGTGAGTGAGCGCTGGGACCGGGTATCCTATTTTGCTGAGCTCACTCACCCTCCATGGGCTGTCATGGGGTGGGGGCAGGGAGAAGTAGGCGGGATGATAGTGACTGGCGTTTGGGATATCTGGCACAGGTGGGGACACTCGGAAGGGGGTGATACCCAACAGTGGGGGCATTTGGAAGCCAATCTCTCAGCCTCCCTGGGCCTCATCTCCCTCACCTATGTCAGGAGTGCGGGCAGTGTCCTCTGGCTGGAAGTGGCCACCTATGGGTGGGCTGTGTTAGGGGTGCCACCACGGCCACTGGCAGACCTGGCCCATCCGGCTGTGTCTCAGCTGTGAGAAGGGGTGGCTGCTCCGTGCATTACCCCAGGCTGGCTGGGGGAGAGCAGCAGGTGCCGCAGCCACAGGAGATTCCCCCAGCTCACTGCTCTTGGAGGGTGACAGGTGACAGAGGGTCCTGCTCTGGCCACTCTGGGGCCTCAGCGGGGGGACGTGGCCATGAGCAGCGGCAGTGATGGGGGGTGGACATCAGCAGCCTGTCCCCTGGGGTGGTAGGGCAAGCTGCACCGGGTCCTGTCGTTGCAGACCGAGAGCGCATCGGGCAGGACTCGGCGTACGAGCAGGAGGGCAAGGTGCAGTTTGTGATCGATGCCGTGTACGCCATGGGCCACGCGCTGCACGCCATGCACCGTGACCTGTGTCCCGGCCGCGTGGGGCTCTGCCCGCGCATGGACCCTGTGGACGGCACCCAGCTGCTTAAGTACATCCGAAACGTCAACTTCTCAGGTGGGGGCGTGGTGCTGGGCACTGCCTGACCCTGGGTGTCCTGGGTCGGGCAGCCAGAGAAGGAGTCCTGGGACTCCGGGGGGGGGGTCTCTAGAGGTTTCCCAGAGCGAAACCTCCCGAGATGTCCCATGGGGGCCTCCCCGGAGGTGTCCCCGCCCTGAGCTCACTGTCTTCCCTGCCTTTGGGTAAAGGCTCAGCCGAGACCCCCACCCACCCTGACAGGCATCGCAGGAAACCCCGTGACCTTCAACGAGAACGGCGATGCTCCCGGGCGCTACGACATCTACCAGTACCAGCTGCGCAATGGCTCGGCCGAGTACAAGGTCATCGGCTCCTGGACTGACCACCTGCACCTCAGAGTAAGCAGGAGGGCGGGCGGAGAGAGTCGCCTGTGCCATCCCAACCCCTGGGCTGGGGGCCGCTGTCTGGAACCCGACACGGGAGCTTCCTCCCCGGGTCCCCTCACTCCGAAGCAGAACGGGGCAGCGGTGTTGTGCTGCCCATTCCAGGCCCTGCCCGCTCTCCCAGCCTGGGGCCTGCCTGCCTCCTGTGTGGCACGTGCGGGGCTTTAGTCACACTGGAGGTGCTGGCTCAAAGCCTGCGTGGGGATGGGGAGGGCAGGTACGTGGCGGGGGTAGGGGGAGGCTGCTGGAGGTGAGGACACAGTCTTCGGGCACGGGTGAGACAGAGGGCTTGGTGGCATTGGCAACGGGGCAGGGAGCCGTCAGCGAGCTCCCGGGCCCCGTGGAACTGCTCTGGAAGGTGGTCTTTCTGGCTCCCCCCGGGGAGGAGCTGGGCTCCCTTTCTGGCCTCCAGTCTCCCCGGCAGGGGTAGGGTCGTTGGACAGGAAGTGCCCAGGGACTTGGCCTGTTCTCTCGAGGGTAGAGAGCTGAGCCGTGCTTGGGGCGGGCCACCTTGGCTGGCCCGAGACTCAGAGCCTCTTAAACCCGGCTCCGGGATCCCGGGGCAGTTGTGGGCTGTCCCTGCTGACTCTTCCCGCAGGGCTCTGTCTGCGCTGACCTCAGTCCTGACAGGTGTGTGAGATAGGAGGCGGGCTAGGACAGCCAGCCCTCGGGGGTTGAGGGGCTCTTCTAAGGCCACACAGCGTGGCAGCCACGGAGCCTGTCATGAGTGGAAGGAGATGGAACAGGGGACACTCGGCAGGGGGTGGCACCCAGTGGTGGGGGTGGGTCTGGTTTTGGAGCAGTGGGAGAAGGTGGGTCAGTGACTCATTCACTGGTAGCCCCTGCTGGGGGACATAGATCTTGCAGATGTGGTCACGAAGGTGGCAGGGATGGAGGGTGTGTGGGCGGCAGTGGGCTCCTCCCCTGACGTCCCCTTCCCTGGGGGGGGTACAAGGCTCCTCCTCCCAGCTGGACCTTTGTGGCCCCGCCCATGACCCCCTCTGACCCTGGGCGGGGCCTCAGCCATCACTCTCTCACCTCTTCTTCCTTGAGTGGCTTGGTTTGGGCTGGGCTGTGAGGGCCACGGAGCAGGCAAGGCCCTGGGGGTGGAGGAGAGTGGCCTGTCACCAGCCACGGTCACTGTTCCAGCTTCCGCAGAGGTTGTCTGGGCCTCTGCCCTGTGCCAGTCCTGTGCTGGGGGCAGGGAGAGGACCACGGAGCCCCTTCCGGGCGAGCTGCGGTTCTCCTGAAGTGCACAAACGCCCCTCCTGTTGTGATTTCCAAATGGCAGTGACCCTATTACAAAGGGCCCCCTGCTTCCTGCCTGCCTGCGCGGTGTCAGAGTAGGACAGAGGCCCAGGAAGGCCAGGGTCAAGGGCACAGAGCTGGCAACAGCTGTGACCCCACTCACTGGAGCCAGAGTTCCCCCAGCGTCCACCATCACCCTGAGTCCTCTGGGGCACTCAGCTGCAGGCACAGGGGCAGCAGGACATCGCCTGGGCTTGTTCTGCCCTGGCTGCTTGGGTTAATGCTCACAGCCACTGGACAGCTTCTTGAGTTTTTTTAAAGATTTTATTTATTTGAGAGGTAGAGTTATAGACAGAGAGAGAGAGACAGAGAGAGAGGTCTTCCATCCACTGGTTCACTCCTCAAATGGCCACAACAGCCAGAGCTGAGCTGATCTGAAGCCAGGAGCCAGGAGCTTCTTCCAGGTCTCCCGTGCCCGTGCAGGGGCCCAACCATTTGGGCCATCTTCTACTGCTTTTCCTGGGCCGCAGCAGAGAGCTGGATTGGAAGAGGAGCAGCCGGGACTAGAACCAGCACCCGTATGGGATGCCAGCGCCACAGGCGGAGTATTAACCTACTGCGCCAGAGCACCCCCCACCCTTTTTAATTCCCACTTTGCCTTGAGGCCGTCTTTGGATCCACACCCTGCCCCACACCCTCCTTCCCTCAGCTCTGACCTGCCCCCGGAGCCCCCGGCCAGTTGGCGGCCGTTCTGCAGGAGTGGGTGCCCGGCACCTGGCACTGGTCTGGTGAACTCTTGCTGCATTTGGAACGGATGCTGGGAAGGTGGCTCCTGGGCGTAGTCTGCTCCCGTAGCCCGGGGCCTGCAGCTCCTCTGGGCCTCTTGCTTGCTTGCTTTCCAGAGTACCTTGTAACGGATTCAGGAGGGCGTGACAGTCCTCCTATGGCCCCTTTGCTCACAGCCGTTGAGTCTTAAGAGCTGTGAGTAGCGCTGATTTAGAGCAAGATGGAAAGAAATGCCAGCCCCTGGGCACACGTTAATATCCGCTGATTAAACTGGAGTTCATCCCCTCCACTGAACGCCGCTCCCTGTGCTCCGTGGTGGAGCCATATGTAGGGCAGTGAAGCCGGCACAGATCACCCTGGGGAGGGGGTCTCGGTGTCGCACGGGCTGGGGTGAGGCCAGAAACTGCATTTCCTGGCAGCTGCTGGGCTTTGTGGCTGCTGGTGAGTTGCCAGGCCCTGGGGGCTGGGAGTGGGGACTGCAGGCCGTCACCGCTGCTATTTTCTGGGCCGAGTTCCTCCATGAGTGTGGAGAGCTCTGGATTCAGCCAGGAGTCCTCCCAGGTCGGCAGTGTTCCGGCCACGCGGTGGTAGGTGGGGGTGGTGGTGGTGGCTGAAATCCAGCCGTCGGGTTCGGGAAGCCCTGGTGGGGTCGGACTTTTAACAGGCACCCACCTGGCTGACTCAGGTGTGGGGCGCAGGGGCATTGCGCGGGAGAGGGCGAAGGGTCCAGGCCCTGGGCGCCCCGTCCTGAGGCCTGCTCCGCGGTGCTGTCGTTGCCAGATAGAGCGGATGCACTGGCCGGGGAGCGGGCAGCAGCTGCCCCGCTCCATCTGCAGCCTGCCCTGCCAGCCGGGCGAGCGGAAGAAGACGGTGAAGGGCATGCCGTGCTGCTGGCACTGCGAGCCCTGCACGGGCTACCAGTACCAGGTGGACCGCTACACCTGTAAGACGTGCCCCTACGACATGCGGCCCACCGAGAACCGCACGGGCTGCCGGCCCATCCCCATCATCAAACTCGAGTGGGACTCGCCCTGGGCCGTGCTGCCCCTCTTCCTGGCCGTGGTGGGCATCGCCGCCACGCTGTTCGTGGTGGTCACCTTCGTGCGCTACAACGACACGCCCATCGTCAAGGCCTCGGGCCGCGAGCTGAGCTACGTGCTGCTGGCGGGCATCTTCCTGTGCTACGCCACCACCTTCCTCATGATCGCCGAGCCGGACCTGGGGACCTGCTCGCTGCGCCGCATCTTCCTGGGGCTGGGCATGAGCATCAGCTACGCAGCCCTGCTCACCAAGACCAACCGCATCTACCGCATCTTCGAGCAGGGCAAGCGGTCGGTGAGCGCCCCGCGCTTCATCAGCCCCGCCTCGCAGCTGGCCATCACCTTCAGCCTCATCTCCCTGCAGCTGCTGGGCATCTGCGTGTGGTTCGTGGTGGACCCCTCGCATTCGGTGGTGGACTTCCAGGACCAGCGGACGCTCGACCCCCGCTTCGCCCGGGGCGTGCTCAAGTGCGACATCTCCGACCTGTCGCTCATCTGCCTGCTGGGCTACAGCATGCTGCTCATGGTCACGTGCACCGTGTACGCCATCAAGACGCGGGGTGTGCCCGAGACCTTCAACGAGGCCAAGCCCATCGGCTTCACCATGTACACCACCTGCATCGTCTGGCTCGCCTTCATCCCCATCTTCTTCGGCACCTCGCAGTCGGCCGACAAGGTGAGTGTGCTGACCTGGAGCCTGGCCGTGCCAGCCGAGGGGCCTTCCGTTCTCGCCTGCCTCTGGATCCTAGCGGCCTGGCCCCTGAGCGCCCCGTGGACCCTGCCCACACCCAGAGCTGGCACTGCAGGCGGGGTGACCTGCAGTCGGAGGCCTCCTGGGGGCCCTGAGACCCCTATGCCTGGTCCCAGGTCTGTCCGTGTCTTGGCTCTGGCCAAGCCGCTGGCCTCCCCCTGCCTCAGCTCCTCTTTCTGTCGCTTGGGACCCAGGCCCTGGCTGCGGGGTGAGCCCTGAGGAGAGCATGGGTGGATCAGGGCTATGGCCAGGTGGTCCTGGGGCTCCTGGGCACGGGGTGCAGCTGAAGCGGGGAGGAGGGGGCAGGGCAGGCGCCCCGCACATGTCCCAGTGCAGCTGTCTGGGGAGCTGTAACTGGGGGCCCATCAGGAGCAGGGAGAGCTCCCCGGGGGTGTGTGGCCTGCAGGGAGCCGCAAATGGGGGCCTGTTGGATGCTGGACGCAGTAGCTACCATCCCCACTTCCACAGGAGAGAGCAGTGATTTGCCCAAGGTCACACGGCCAGTAGGTGGCACAGCTGGACTTGTCCCTGCTGCACCGAAGGAGCCACCACCTGCAGCCCACACTGGCCCTCCCTGGTGCCCCCACCTCTGTTCCAGCAGCTCATGCTGGGCGGCTGCCGTGTCCTCTGCTCTGCGCCCCACATCTCGTGGGCCCAGCCCAGGGAGGTCTGTGGGGCGTCTTCCGGGGGTGTCCCTGAGGGCCAGGGTGCTCCAAGAAGCAGACCTTGGGGCTGGCAGGGACTGGCCTGGGGTCTGAGGCGTGGCCTGGCCATGCTCCTGAGCCTGGCAGCCAGTGCACCCAGCCCCTTGCTGAGCGTGGAGTCGGCAGGGGAGTCCTCCACACCCAGGAAGCTTGAAAACCTCAAGGGCCTCCCAGTCTGAGGGCGGGTAAGCCCCTGCCCTCTGGCTGCGGGCACCCTGCGCCCGGTGGAGACCCTGTCATCCCAGGGCATCAGCCCTGCTCAGCCCACGCCCTGTCCAGGCAGCGCCCCGTCCCGCCCCGCCCTGTCCGTCTCCACCTCCGCTGCACAGTTCTGAGCTGAGCCACTGAGATGGCCTTCAGAGGTGCTCCATGGGGCAGGGCTGCGGCCACACAGCGCCTGCACCAGCTCTGCCCGGGGCCCTGTGGGACGTGGGATGCATCCCTTCTCCCCTCTAGGCCTCCTAATGGGGTGGGGGTGGAGGAGACGAACTCGGAAGCCCCCATGGGTTCCAGCCACCAGGCCTCTTAGAGGCGCTGGCAGCCAGGGGGCCGGCAGTGCCGGAGCCACGTGGAAGCTCCCGGGCGCCCAGGGCAGGCTGCAGGCCTGGCTGCTGTGGGGGTGGGAGGGGGCTGGTGCCACCCTCAGGAGTGCTGCTGGGTGCCCAGAAGCTTGTGTGTGGGTTTTTGGGTATAAGGGTACTTAAGAGATGCTCATAGGCTAAGAGAATTGAAAGTATGAGTTTATTTTGATCACTTCTCGGCCTTTTGGCTAAGATCAAGTGTAAATGTTCTTGAAATCTATGGCTTTTTCATAATAGTTTCCCCACATATTATGGAAAAATTGTCTAAAGAAACATTTATCTATTACTTAAAGGCAGGGCAACAGAATTTGGGGGAGGGGAGAGAGAGAGAACTTCCAACTGCTAGTTCACTCTCCAAATGCCTACAACATCTAGAGGTGGGCCAGGCTGAAGCCAGGAGCCTGAAACTCCATCCGGGTCTCACATGTGGTTTGGCAGGGACACAAGCACTTGGGTCATCTTCTGCTGCTTTCCCAGGTACATCAGCAGGGAGCTGGGTTGGAGGTGGAGCAGTGTTCCAACGTGGGATCCCGGCGTCACAAGTGGTGGCTTAACCTGCCGCACCCCGATGCTGGCCCTGCCAAAAATGTTTTGCACCAAAATAAACTCCTACATTTAATTCTGCTTTTCACAAGCTGCTCGAAGTACCCGTATGTGCATGTTCGGCAGTGGATGGGTGGGGTGTGTGCACACTGCGTGGGGATGGTGTGTGGCTGTGCCCAGGAGTGTGTGTGTGTGTACACCTGGGTGAATGCAGGTTTTCGTGTGTGCCGGTAGCTGTGTGTGTGCTTGCGTGTGTGTGCTTGCGTGTGTGTGCATGTGTGTGCGTGTGCGTGTGCGTGTGTGTGTGTGTGAGCGCAGGCGTGGCCGGGAATGCAGACATGCACATGCACTTAGGTGTGTGTGTGTGAGCACGTGCCGCTGCGCACGCTCAGCTGTGCCGCGTCCGCAGGGCGCAGGCGCCTGTGCAGAGTGAAGCTGTCTGTGCCGCTCTGGTGAGCAGGCGGATGGATTTCCAAGCATTAGCCGGATTTCCGGGGCTTAACACTGCAGCCATTAGGCCTTACCCTGAGCCGTCCTGAGCAGGCTGCTCCACCACGCGGGGTTAGTGCTCAGCCAGGCTTGGGCGGGACCAGGGTGTGGGGAAGCTCTGGGTTCCGGTAGGCTCTGCAGATCTCAGCCCACTGGGGTGGCCAGGCAGAAGCACAGAGCAGCTCCACGGGGTCCCTGGCCCCCTGTAGCCGCCAGCGCAGGAAGCTGCTCGTCCATACTCAGAGCTGCCCCGCATGTCCCATGCCACCCGTTAAAGCCAGCTCTGCCCACCTCTTTCACTAGTCCCTGCTGTGGCCAATGCCAGGTTCTTCCCAGAAGTAAGCTGGGGTGGGCAGCCCTACTTCTGCTGTGCACAAGGCCTACCTCTAGCCTGGGGGGGTGGCTCCAGGAGCCCCTAGCACCCTTGCTGGGCGGGGAGGGCCTCGGCAGCCGGGGGCAGCTTGGCTCAGGTTTGACCTGTTGATAGTGCTTTTGTGTCGTTAGCAGAAAGCCCACATTGTACACAGCACCAGTGACCATGCTCCCCCAGGGCTGGCCGCATCCTTTGCAGGCCAGTAGGGCAGTGTCCCTGGTTCAAAGGCGATTCAGGATTCAAGATGGCGGTGGCAGGTGCATTAAGCCAAGCGCGGGGGCCCTTCCAAGCCCCGCATCCCCCTTTGTGGCAGCTCAGGCTGCGTGCCCAGGAAGCCGGCTCCGCCTGTGCTGACAGTGGGGGCCCAGCACCCCACAGCAGGCCCCTGACTCCTAACACAGAACTTGTGCACTGCAGGCTCACCCCGCCCATGAGGGCCTGAATCCCTCCGCCAATGCCGGGCGGGTGCGTGGCACTCTTGCCCCTTCAGCAAGACCTCTGACCTGGAGCACAGCCTCTAGACCCATGAGCCCCCGGTGTGCAGGGAGACACAGCTGCTGCCCTCGGGAGCCCAGAGTGGGGAGACATACCGTCCCCAGGGAGTGCCCGGTCCGCGGTGAGGCCCCGGCTCACTGTCCCTTTGCCCAGCGTTTCCTCCATGTCTGTTGGGAAACTCGAGCTCCCCTCTCGCCCCGGCCAGCAGGCCCCCACTGGCCCACCTCGACGTTTCTGGCCCGTGGTGGGAGTGTGGGCTGTGTGTGTGGACTGGGGCATGTCTGCTGCGTCCCAAGAGGTACGTGCTCCTGGGGGCACCGCGTGACGTTTCCCCCAACAGTGGCAGTGGCCGCTTCACACTCCCAGGCAGCCTGGCCCTGGATCCGTGTGTGATCTGGACCGTGCTGGCCCCGAGGCTGGGCAGTGAGCAAACTCAGCTCCTTGGCTTGGGGACGTCACGGCTGCCCGGACGTGCCCATTTCTCTTCTCTTCACTTTGAGCCCAGCACCTGCAGCACTCAGAGCAGGTTTCCTGTGGCCTTCCGTGCTCGGGGAACCTCATGGTTTGGGGGAGGCAGGGACAATCATCCCATCTCACTGATGGAAAAACTGAGGCCCGGAGAAGAGGGAGGCTCCCTCTCCCCAAGGGAGGAAACCCAGGGAGGAGTGGCTGGAAAGGAAGGCCTTGAAGGCCCTGGAGGGGGAATGGGAGAAGGAAAGACCTGGCCCTTACCACCCTCAGGGGCCACTGGACGTGGCCAGAGCCCCTTGTCCTGCACTGGGGGCTGGTGCCGGAAGCAAAGGGTATGATGGGGAGGGGGTCAAGGAGGGCTTCTTGGAAGGGATGCCGGGCACAGCAGCCACACCCTAGGGGAGGGGCCTCAGGCCTGGGAACATCAGATCTGGAAGCAGAGCCACCCCCGTGCCCAGACCTGGGTGGCACGGCTTGGGTCTCTCCTGGCTCCTCCCTGGGAAGAAGGGCGGCTGGACCGGGAAGACTGGAGGGAGGGAGGTGGCGGGAGGGGAATCCCGGGGGTGGGAGTGGGAATTGCCTGGCCGAGCCTGGAAGGATGGATTATCCGACACCCAGATTAATGGGCTTTCGTTTTGCTAAACATCTGTCACCGTTAGCACTGGCGAGTGAGCGTGAAATGAGCTTTGATGCGCTGCCGCCGCCCAATCCTGCTGGGCACCGTGGGTCCCATGCCAAGGGTCCTCTTTGCACCAGGGGGCACATGGGGGCCAGTCACGGTGTAGGGAGGTGGCCTGGCCCCAGGGGGCCGTGGCACCCACAGGTGCCCCTCCCACCCTCCGCTCCTTCTGGGGGCTGCTCCCTGGCAGCTGCCTCCCCCCTAGATAGCACCTAGCAGGTGCCGGATGTATTTGCCCCATTTGGTGAGCCCTGGGGTAAGTAAGTACTACAGTTGTCACACCTGTGTTACGAGGGGGCGACTTGTCCGGGTTCGCACAGCGCCCGCATCTGAATCCAAGAATCCCAGTCTAAATCCGAGCTTCATAGCACCACTCCAGCCCAAAGCCAGCAGGACGCAGGGCGGGGTCTCTGCCTCCTGGCGGGGTGCTGGGCAGGGTCAGGTCCCCGCCCCGCTGGGGCAGAGCCAGGCTGACGCCCCTCCCCTCGGCCCGCCCCCAGCTGTACATCCAGACCACGACGCTGACGGTCTCGGTGAGCCTGAGCGCCTCGGTGTCCCTGGGAATGCTCTACATGCCCAAGGTCTACATCATCCTCTTCCACCCGGAGCAGAACGTGCCCAAGCGCAAGCGCAGCCTCAAAGCCGTTGTCACCGCTGCCACCATGTCCAACAAGTTCACGCAGAAGGGCGGCTTCCGGCCCAACGGCGAGGCCAAGTCGGAGCTCTGTGAGAACCTGGAGGCCCCGGGTGAGTGCCTGGCCCCGCCCCCCACCACGCTGGGCACCATCCAGGCTCCCCCTCCTCGGAGCAGGTGGAGTGGCCCCAGCCATGCCCCAGCCCCAACCCTGTTCTCTGGGGAGTGTGGGAGAGCCCCGGGGCTGCCCTGTCCCTCCTGGTTGGGCAGGTGCTGTGACACCTTGAGCCCTCTTGGCCCTGGGCCCACAGCTCAGACCTCTCAGTGCCTCTGGGAAAAGGGGTTCCATTGGAGGGGGGGTCACCCGGGAGGGCGGCCCTGGTGCCAGAGCAGTTGTAACACTCAACTTGGCTTTGTCCGGCAGCCCCCCCTAGCAGGGCCCCGAGAGATGGGGACCTAGAACGTGGGCCTGCCCGGGATGGGTGAGTGAGGGTGTAGGGCAGGGCGGAGGGACCTCCAGGGGCAGCCGTGTCCCCAGGGGGTGTCAGGAGACCTCAGAGAGGGGCCGGGAGAGGAGGCAGGGCCCCTGGCGTCGGAGGGGCACCCTGGGATGGCCCTGGGCGGCCCAGGTGCCTCCAGGCCAGTTCAGGGATGTGTCTAGAAGGGAGCAGGGCCGCCATCCTCAACAATTCCCCTTTTCCTCCGGAGCCCGCCCCGTGTGTGTATGGGAGGGCATGTGGCAGAGGGGACAGAGGGGCGGGATGAGAGGCACAGGGACCGAGAGGAGTGGTCGTGAGGGGTCCTGAGCCTCGCTGTGTGCCAGGCCTGCCGCCTGCCGCCTTAAGATCTGATGCCATCTGCGTGACACCCACCAGGCTCAGAAAGAGGCGAGAGACTCACCTGGCTCACAGAGCCAGCAGGTGGCAGGGCCACCATGGCCCGGCTGTCCCCGCTGCTGCCTCCACTTCCAGACAGGTGGAGCCACTGCCACTACCCCCAGGAGCCTCAGAGCCCCCCCCTCTGGCTGCTCTGGTATGAGGAGGGGCCAAGGGGCTGCTGTGGTCACCCTAGAGCCACTGGAGCTGGGGACTCCCCCCCTGCAGCCCCGGAAGTGGCCTGCGTGGTTTAAGTGCTGCGAAAGTCCTGGGGGTTCCCGTTGGTGGGGGGGAGGGTGGAGAGCACCCCTCTCCCCAGGAGAGCTGTAGAACCTGCCAGGAGGTAGCACCCAGCTTCCTCCTACGGTGCTGGGAAGGCCGAGCGCCCAGCTCCAGGGAGGAGCCCTCACCCTGGTATGTGTGTGTGTGCGGGGGCAGCAGCTCGGGGAGCATCTTCCTCCCACGTGCCGAGAGGAGGGTAACGGAAGGAGGCAGGTGCTTGCGGCTGCCACACGGACAGCTCACTTCCCAAAGCTCCCCTCCCCCCTCACATCAGTCCTGGAAAACCCAGGATGGGGGGTGGGGTCTGCCCCAGCAGAGGCCCAGAGAGGGTGAGCGGCTCTGCTCCACACAGCAAGGTGGGGCTTGCTGCAGAGGTGGGAAGGGGCGGGGGTGCTCACAGCATGGCCCGCGCTGGCCTGGTACACCTGCCTGGGTGTCCAGATACCCCAGGGAAGCCCATGCCAGGGCCTTCCTGTCCTGTGTGGGGAGCTGCGCGCCCCTGCTCCCCGAGACAGACCCTTCCCTGCCGGGTCGCACTCCCCCAAGGCCCCACTCTGTGCTGGGTGGGAGTGGCCCTCCGGAGAGCTGCTGGGCACTGGCGTTCACGCCTGACCCCACGGGGCATGCTCAGAGGGACATGGCGGGCAGGGTCTTCACCGAGTCGTGGTCCCCTCTGTCCTGCCCAGGCCGAGAAGGAGGGATGTGGGGATCAGGGCAGGGCCAGCAGCCTTTGTCCCCCCCCAACCCCATCTCTGCTCAGTGACAGCGGGGGCCACGAGGGTGCCGCCGTGTGAGTCATCTGGGGACAGCAGCCCCCCGGGATGTGCCTGGGAGGAGTGGGAGGTGTCACTCCCGTGGAGCAGGGACATTTTTCACTCTGTCACTGGCAGGCCACGTATCTTTAAATAAACAACCGAATAAATAATTTAGAGGTCTGATTGCCAGCAGATTGGGTGCGGAGACACCAGGCGACAAATGAGGCCTGTCAGCCCGTGTGTCGCTGCCCAGCCAGCCGGGACTGAGCCAGCAGCGAGGGCTGGGTGCGGCGGTGGTGGTGGTGGTGGGGAGGGGTCCCTCCGGCCACAGCCCTGGCCCCTGCCCTCACAGTGAGCGTGCCCTGGAGTGGCTCTGGCCTGGCCTGGCCTCTTGCAGGTGCCTCCACTTGCTGCCACTGTGGCCCCGTGCCGCCATCTGCAGGGCTGAGAGAGTGTTTTCCTTGGCCGGGAGCCAGCTGAGGGCTTGTTACCCTGCTGTGTTGCACAGGAGGGCACAAGGTCCCCGGGGCTACAGGAGGGTCCACGTGTGGGAAGGGCCACTGGGCAGGTGCGAGGTGAGGGCAGGCCTCCCGCCTGCCAGCTCGCAGAAGCTCTTCCTCTGAGCCTCCGCATGGATTTGTGGGGGGCCCTGAAGACTCATTGCCCCCATTTTCCAGGCCGTAAGACTGAGGTCCTGCTGTAAGGCTTGGGCCCCTGGCTTACCCCTGCCGGCCCTGGGGGCCAAGGCCACTGTCAGGCCTGCGTGTTCTCACGGTCAGCGCTGCTGCTGCCGCCGCTGAGCTGACGTTTCCGTTCACCTCTGAGCCTGGAGCTGCTGAAGGGTTTTACAGGTTTGGAAAGTTGCTTTTATCGGCTCACCAGGAGGTGATGGAGCCCTGGGGAGCTGATTCTCACCAGCCCGGCCTGCAGGCAGGCAGGCGTGCACGCGCAGAGCCGCTGTGTCCTTTGCTGACTGTGGGGAAGTGAGGACGGAGGTGCTGGGGGCCGTGGGGAGCTTCTTGGGAGGAGTCTAAGCTGTGGGGCCTCCCTGCCTCGTGTTCCAGGCAGGGAAACTGAGGCCCCGCAGACGGGAAGGAGGCGCCGAGACCACGGAGGGAACATGGGGCTGCCCTTCGATGAGAATCCGGGCTCCAGGAGCCCTCCGGGGTGCTGTCTGCGTGTGGCCGACCCCCAGCAATCCCTGCCACCCCGGGACACCCAGGCCGAGGTCTGGTCCTCCCACCCTCCCGAGCACCTGGCACCCCGGGTCTGCGGGTCGTTTTAGGGACCGCCCGTGAGGCAGCCTGCTGTCTCCTTGTTCGTTTAGACTTCATGGCCCCACTTCCTGTCCAGCAGGCGCCTAAACCTCCATTGTTCATCCTCTGAGTGTTTCTGTGGGCAGGGGGCCCAGTGCCATGGGGGGCCAGCTCCCCTCCCAGCTCTTCCTTTGGCCCAACTGAGCTCTGACCCTGTGTCTCCCCACGGTGCACCCCGCTGCTCGCTCTGTGCCTGGCAGCGTCCCTGGGTGTCCCCTGACCGTGGTGTGACAAAGAGCCCCCAGAACGGAGCAGACAGGTGCTGGCTGCTGTCTGACACAGCGATTCGCAGCGGACAGGCAGCCGTGGGGCCCAGGTGCCTTCCATCTTGTTGCTCTGCTGGCTCCCAGAGTCCGGCCGCCCATGGAAAGGAGACGAGAGGAAGCACGGGGAAGATGCCTTGTCATTTACACTGGGCTCCACGGAGCTGCAGGGGAGAGGAGCCAGGGCGCCTGGCCTGCACCGGTGCAGTCACCTGGGCAACAGCTTGCAGGCCACCACACTGCGGCCGCCCCCTCCAGGCTGGAAGCCCCCCCTGAGTGTGCCGGCCACGCCCTCTTTGCCAACAGGACCCTGAAGGGGTCCAGACTGGCATCTGGTTACTCAGTACCGCAGACCCCAACCCTGGCAGGAGCCAGAGAAACCGAGAGTCTGGCCAGGCTCCGCCCCTCTGCCTGTCCAGGGTGGAGCTTCCTGGGCCCCCTCACTAGGCTGCTATAAGGTTTGCGCCGGTGGCCAGGGACACTCGTGCGGTCCATAAAAACCAACATTGTCACCCAGGGGAACTGGCCCTGGGCTGGGCCTGGTAAGGGAGCAGTGGCCAGGAACTGGGGGATGCCCGGACATGCCAGGCAGCCCCAGCTGTGCAGTAAGGAGGGCCAGAGCGACAGGTGCAGGTGGGAGGGGCTCCAGACTAGGACTGAGCGACAGGTGCAGGTGGGAGGGCTCTGGACTAGGAACGGGGCGGTGCCGGGAGAGGCGGAGGCAGGGGCCCTGGAGGGGACATGCCAGCCCTGCACCTCTGTTCTAGCCCAGCAAGGCCCCTCCCGATTCCCTGACCGATTTCCTGCATCTGTTCCCCACTCCCTCCCTGCCACCATCCCAGCGTGTTCTTTGCGTGTGCTCTTCCACACTGTGTGCTGCTAAGCTTCCGGAAGGCCGTGTAGCACGTGGGGGACCAGGATGACAGGAGACGCTGGGGGATGCTGGTGCTCGGCCCAGGAGCCCGGGCTGGGTGCAGGACAGTGGGGTGGGGGTGGGGGTATGGTGTGGAAAGGCCCGTCCCTGACTCCTGGCTACCCCTGGTCTCTCCCCTTCCAGCGCTGGCCACCAAACAGACCTACGTCACCTACAGCAACCATGCAATCTAGCCGGGCCGCCGGAGCCAAGCAGCAGGAGCGACCTCGGCCTCTGTGGACAGTGCGCCGGGCCAGGGCCGCTCCCGAGGGCCCAGCTGATGTCCCGCCTGCCCGTGGGTGCCCACGGACGTGGCTTGGTGCTGAGGACAGCCGAGCCCCCCCGGCCGCCACTGCTGGGCAGCCTGGGCAAGCCGAGTGGGCGACAGGACGAGGACGAGGGGCCGGGGCAGCTCGGGCCGCTGCAAGGACCTGCGTCTTGGACCGCTGCCCCTCCTGGCTCGGGCTGTGGCGCCCCAGCAGTGCTGGCTCTCTCTGCCTCTGTCCCCATCGGCCCTGTTGGTCACCTTCTCAGTCGGGCTCCATCCCTGTCTTACCTCTTTGTGTGCTTTTTTTTTTTTTAATCTTCGTCTCCACCTGTCTGGGTTCTCGTGTTTCTATGTCCCGCCTCTTTCTGCTCTTGCCTCAGCCTCCTTGCTCCATGCACCCTCCCGCCCCTCCTGCCGCTCTCTTGGGATCCACCCCGTGTTCCTTATCTCATGCATTTTTCTTTCCCATCCTCTGTGACTTCATTTTTGTCCAGCCTTGGCTCCTGTCTTCCCGCCGCACCCTGCCTGGTTCACCAAATCTTACTTGTTGCAAAAGCAAAAAAAAAAAAAAAAAAGAAAAAAAGAAAAAAAAATCAAAACACAAAAAAGCCAAAACAAAAACAAATCTTGAGTGTGTTGCAAAGTGCCGCGTCCTCCGGTGGCCTCTGTGTGTGTCCCTGTGGCCCGCAGCCTGCCCGCCCGCCCGCCTGCCCGCCTGCCCCTCCTGCCGCCGACACGGAGTTCAGTGCCTGGGTGTTTGGTGATGGTTCCTGATGACAATGTGTAGAGCATGATTGTTTTTATACCGAGAACATTTCTAATAAAAATAAACTCATGGTTTTGCACCCGGGCTCCACATCCACTGGGGGTCCAGCCTGCAGCCAGAGGGTGATGGAGCCAGGGAGGGCGTGGGGGCTGCTGGAGGCGGCTCCCCCGGGCTGGGGGTCTGCTGCTCCTGGGGGGAGGCCTTGGGCAGGGAGGGACCAGGTTTTCCAGGAAGGGGTCCGGGACACTGGAGAACATCGCGGAGATCAGCACTTGGTGGTCCCCGAATTAAGGAGGCTGCCCTGCCCCTGGCCTTGCACCTAGGGAGGGTGCCAGCCCAGTCCAGCCTTCCTCTCTTCCTTGGGCCGTCTCTGGGTGCAGGGCCTAAGAGGACGTACATGCGTCTGTGCTGGTGAGCCTCGTGTGGCAGGTGTGTCCCTGTGGGCCCCAAGGACACGGCACAGGTGCCTCCACGTGCGTGCATACTTGTCATGTGTCTGTGGGCCCGTCTGCCTAGGCGCCAGTGGGTGCGAGCCCACATCGCGCCCACGTCACGAGGCCGCCCGTCCCAGGCAGTGGCAAGTGTGGGAACATGTGCTCCCGCGTGCGCTACAGCTGGCCGCCTTGGCAGGTTGGGAGGCAGAGGGCGGGGAGCTGCTTCGGGGCTGGGCTCTGCCAGGGGGTAAATTATAGAGCCCGCAGCGACACAATGAGGCCACAGGCGGCAGCTGGAGCCCCCACTGCGTGTGTGCCGAGCCTCCCCCTCCTGCCCCGCCCCTGCCCTGCCCCCAGGTCCTCCACGCAACCCTCCCCCGCAAACAGCTAACTGACAGCCGTGTGCGGCATGGTGGCGCGGGACAGGTAGTGGTGAGGCTGGATATGGGGCAGGCTGGGACAGGACCCTGGCTGGTGCCAGGGCCAGGAGTTAGCGCCCCCTTGACCAGTCCCCCTTAGCCCTGGGGCAGGGAGGCCTCACCTGTGCTCTGGAATGGGCCTTGCTGGGGGTCTCAGTACTCAGCAGCTCCTTGTTCTGGAAGGGGGCTCTTACTCCTCATCCTGGTCCCTAAGGACGATGCTGGTCCCCAAGACCTCCACGCACAGCCAGAACATAATCAGGGACCAAGGGCATGTGCCAGAAGCTAGCAGGTTTTGTGGGGGTGGGGTGGGGGGTGGGAGGATGTACAGACATGCACCTGGTTCTCCCCTTGGGGGATTCTCTGTACCCCCAAGCCTGGCGCGTTGCCCCTCCCTGGCCATGCCCCTCTAGATGATTGATGCTGTATGGCCAGCCCAAGGATAGGTAGGGGGCCTGGCCTGGAGCCTAGGTAGGGTTTGGGGCTCAGCCTTGGCCTTGCCCAGATGCCCCCCATACCTGTGTGTCTCCATCTGGGTTCTGGGGGAGACACCCTCTCTCTCAAGGGGTCAGTGCCTCTTCGGAGTTAGGAGCAGCAGGGTCTCTCTCCTGCTGGGCTGGGAGGGGACATCCATTGCAGGAGCCCGGGGCAGGCTGGGACAGGACCCTGGCAACCCGAGGTCGTGGCTGCTGCAGCCTGCCTTGGGCTGGGGGGTGCCTTCTGAGGGGCGGGGGGTGGCCAGGCACTGTCCATGGGAAGAAACCAAGCCTTGGGGAGCCAGTGTGGTTATAGATGCTGGTCTCGGGCTGGGCTGGGGGCTCCATGGGCACCCTCTAGCCAACCTCCCCAGAGTGATGGACGGGTGCTGGGAAGCTGTGTGCTGGCCTGGTGGGCTGGGTGTGCCGCCAGACCTGGGGGTTTAGGAAGCCAAGAGGGAGAGACAGTGCCCACGCCTGGGCTGCTGCCTGCCCGAGCTGGACACACAGGGAGACCCCTTTCAGGAGAAGTGGGGGTCACAGGCCCCTTGCAGCACAGGTGGAGTGCCTCTGAGTTACACCGTCACCCTCTCTGTCCCTGTCACCCCGGAGGCCCAGTGGGACAGAGGCACAGAGCCAGGCCCGAGGAGACCCCTGTCCACGCCATGCCAGCCACCCCTGGCACCGCCTCAGCCTCCAGGCCCACGGGAGGAAGACGCTGGCCCTGCGGGAGCTGAGACCCTCTTCCCAGCGCCGACTCACTGGGTCGCGTGGCTCCCTCCTCCCCCTCCACCCCGGGTTCCCATTCAGCACTGAGCACAGGGAGCCTGAAGCTTTTCCCTGACATGGAGGCCTCTCTCTGCCCTCCTGCCTGCCCCGTGCCACCCTGGCCAGCCCACGGTGCTGGCCCTGGCACTCTGAGCCTCGCAAGGCCTGGGCCTGTCCTGAAACTGCCATCCCCCGGCACCGAATGGTACGCAGTGCCAAAATCTCACTTCAGTTGGCAAAAGCAGCAATTAGCATCTAACGAGGCTTCTTGCTTTATTTTTAGGTAACCTCCGAGGCCCTGCCTCTGTAATTCAGCCCGCCATTGCTCGGTGCATAATTAAAGCATGTCACCATAATTTGCCTTTTTTTTTTTTATAAAGCCCTGTAATTATGTTTGTATTGCCAAGTGGGGTGGGGGGGGAGAAGAGGGGAGGAAAGAAAATAGAGAGAGGTGGGGTAGGAGGGACAGGAAAGGGGGCTTGACTCCGCCCCTGCTGGCCTGGCTCCTCCCCCTGCCCCCAAGACCCTTCCTGTGTGGCTACTGGGTGGGGGTGGGGGGAGCTGCCTAACCTGCAGGCTCCGCCCCTTCGCTCTCCTCCCCGGGGCCTCCCCAGCTCCTTCCCTGTCCCCTTTAAGCCCAGCCTCAGTTTTCTCTCCGGTGGCCAGTGGGCAGGGGAGGTAGAGCCGAAACCAGAGCAGGGGAGTTCGTGCTGTCCCCCCCACCCCGCTACTGGGCAATTTCCATAACAGAAAATAAATCAAACTGCACTACCAGGAGGGGTGCTGCCTGTGCTCTCTTTCTAACTATGTGGTGAAGGACTGTCCCGGAGCCAAGAGCTGCCTTTTCCACCAGCTCACGGGGTTCAGGGGAGTCCACTCCCCCGCTGCTGATTCGGTGCCTACAATTCTGTGGCTAAAGCCTTAGACTGCTGTGTTGGGACTGTTCTCCCAAAACGCACCCACCGGCTGGGACCGCCCTGGGGTCGGGCAGCAAGACACCAGGACAGGTGAGTCTTGGAAGAACCTCCCAGGGCAGCCGAATCTTCTGAACACCTCTGCTGCCTGCCCTGGCACCGTGTGTCCGTCGGCCGCCTTCCATCTTCATCCGGCACCAGTGTCAGCCCTGCCCGGAAAGGGACCTCCGCCTGTCTGGCCGCAGCTGAGTCCCAGGTGCCCAGCGCGGTGCAGTCAATGTGTGTGGAGTGAATGAGCTGAGGGGAGGGGCCCCACGGGCTGCACCTGGAGGCACCCAGTTCGCTGCAGTCTCCCAGCCCCCAGCTCTGCCTGAGACTCTGCCCTGAATCCGGGGCTCATTTCTTTTCTTCACTTGAACTTCCCAGGAGGGTGTGGTCTGTGGGTAGGCGCCGATCCTCATGTCCCTGCGTGGGAATCAGGAGGCCTGAGTCCTGGGTGCGGCTGTGCTGCCAGCCTGCTGTGCGCCATTGGGCAGATTGCTCTCCCTCTCTGGCCTGATTATTCATCCTGAACATGAGGGACAGAGCTCTGAGCTCTCGGGGCCTGGGAAGCAGCCAGCCTCCCAGCAGCCCAGAAGGGGAGGTGACTGCGAAGAAGAGTCTTTTGGGGCTAGTTGCTATGGCAACTGTGCCCACACTGAGGGCTGGGGGCAGGGCCCGGGTATACAGATGGGGCCCTTCCTTTGGCTTCCCTGGCCTTGGATGTCTTTGTTGATGTTAGGGAGAAGTGCGAGGGGTGGCAGGGTGGGCCCGCCTGCACGCAAGGAGCGAGGGGCCTTGTGCTTCCATTCCCGTGGAGGTGGGGACTAAGGCGAGAGAGTAAAGGGGCCTGGCCAGACCAGGGAGGCCTGGGAATGATGCCCCTTACCGTGGCCGGCCGCCTCCCTCCGCCTGGGGTGCTGGGGGGCTCCCCCCACCCCCCAGCCTGCAAGGTGCCCATGTCTCCCATCCATGGAGTTGGACACTGCCTGGCCAGGATGGGGGGCGGGGCAAACAGCGGAGACCCTGGCTTTGCGCACTGCCAGGTGTCTGTGACCCCCAAAAGCTGTTAGCTCTCCAAACCTCAGTTTCTGCATCTGTGAGATGGAGCTTGCGGTGCCTCCTGAGACTACAACATCGCTGTAAGATCCCAGGAGGCGGGGAGAGGGCACGAGCCCCGCCCTTGAGTTTGGTGGCCCCTCCTTCCGTGAGGCTCCTCCCACCCTCTCCCTCTGGACCCTGGCTTTGGGCTGCTTTTCTCCCACCCGCTGTCCCAAGGCGGGGTCTCCGGGCTGTGTCCATGAGCCCTTCACTTCACGTCTCTCAATCATACCCAAGGCTTCCGCGCCTCCCGAGCGCCCGGGCCTCCTGCTCCTCTGCCAGCGCCCCCTGCGGTGCGGGTGAGGCCTGGGACTCTCCTGGGTTGATCTCACCGGTCACTTCTGGCTAAGGCCCCGCGTGCCCCCTCCATGTCTCCCTTGTCTTGGAAGCTGCACGTGGATGCACGCCTTGGGTCCCTGAGTCGCTGGTGGAGGAGCCGGTCGGCTCCTGAGCTGAGAGAGGAGGGCCTCTCCCTACCTACAGCTGCCCCACCCCAGCACTCCCCGGCTGCACCCCTCAGTCTTCTGCTACCCCTGTTCCTCTCCCCGGGTCCCAGGCTCCCCCCTTTGGTGCTGGGCAGCCACCCAGCTAGCGGCCTGCATCCTGTCCCCTATCCTGAGTCCCCCTTCCCACCTCTCACCCTGCTCTCTGCCCACCCTCCTGCCTGCTGTCTCCTCCCCGAGTGGTGGTGCCCTCAGCTCGTCCCGCCCCCTGCCAGTCGGCGCCGGCAGCCAGCTCCTCCACAGCTGCCGGCCTGGACGGGGAGCCCTACAGGTGCACCTGCTGGGGGCGTGCCCTCCGCGGCACCCTCGCCCCTGCCGCCTCCTGTGCGGTGTGTCTCTTTCCTCAGGCCGCTGGGAGGATGCCCCCTCCTGGCTGGTTCCAGGCAAGGGGATTTGGCGCTTCCCGGTGTAGTCTTCATGCCCTCTGGACTTGGCTTTGGATCTATGGGTTTGTACTTTTCATTGTATTTGGA